TATTTTAAACAAAAAATTCATAATCAAAAAGCTATTTTAAGTAGCTTTTGGGACTTTTAGCTTGTTTTTTCTATATGTAAAAGCTAATTTTTCCAAACAAATCTACACAACTTAAAGTTATAGTTTTCAGCTTTCAACTACCATGTACTAGTTAGTTTAACCAAACATGCCCACGACTATATGTTTTACATGTCATCCTTTTTAGTCATTTTAGTATATAATTAAACTACATTATTAAATAATAAATCCATACTTTTCTTTATTAGGGCTTCTAATCTTAATTGATTTCCTTTTAACACTTAGGCCGAAGAAAGAGTGTCTGACGCACCAATGAGAGTTGTCACCCTGAAAAGGTACCGACACTACTGTCCCGACGACGAGTCCTAATACCCCTAACTATAAAGGACCAAAACAAGACATTCTCTCTCTCTCTCTCTCTCTCTCTCCCTCTCTCAATAGGCTTTTAACTTTTTGATGATGTGTAATTTTACATATTTTAAAAGTTTACAACAATTTTTACCGAACAGTTATACATAAATAAAAGTTATAGCTCTCAGTTTCGAGCTAGCAAATAGTTTTGTCGGACACACTCTCAATGGGAGTTTTGAAGTCAATGTCTTGTCAACTTTGTACTTAATTTTTTTCTCTCATATTCTCCTAACGTTGCTTGTCATCATTCTTTTTGTTTCCTTTTCAAATTTATCATTTATTCCTTATATTTTTACATTTTTCTATGAACCTAATTTCATGGGAAAGTATAACTTTATGTCATTTCAATTGAATAACCAGTGGCGAGCATATAACGTAAACCTTTATGATTCACTATTTAAATGAAACATATAGAAAATAAAAAAAATAAAAAAATATATACTAGTTGTTAGTAGGTTGAATTGTATAAGAAATAATAATAATAATAATAAATAATAATAAGTTCTTACAATTGTATTCGTCGAGGTCTTATATCTTGATAGATTTTCACAACTTTATCATTAATGATACTTTTCAAAACATTTTTTTTCAATATATGAGAAGGAAACAATGTTAAACGATTGTTTTTCCCTTTTTTTAAAAAAAATATTATTTTGTATTAGGTTATTTCTTTACGGGTTATATGCAACATCCCAAAAATCAGAGTAAAATTTTAATTTTTCAAAACCAAACCATAGACCATAATTGTTTACAAAATAGTGTTTCCAAGAGTAATAATCAAAATCAGAGTATTCCAAAATCCATAATCATAAAATCGAGAAGATGTGTGGACTATCACGCCTTTACTTTCCAACAATCGTCTGAAGTACCTGAAACAATAAACTGAAATTGTAAGCCAAAGCTTAGTGAGTTACCCCAAAGTACCACACCCAACCAAACAGATAACCGCAAGCAAACATGAGCCTTTAGCCTATCTGGACCGCTCTGTCGGGCCTACAGCCTATCTGGACCGCTCTACGGGCCTTCGACCTGAATGGACCGCCGCGTAGGGCCTACAGCCTATCGGAACTTCCCTGGGTATCTTGGCCTTCAACACAAAGCAGGACTTCCTCAACCTAACAACCACAACATATCGACATGTACCATAACAATCAATAACTAGCAAACAGGTAATCATGCAGATCTACCACTCTAACGCATACTCAGTGAGCACAAGTAATCATACAAATCTACCAATATAACACATACTCAGCATAACAACAATCAATATACCATGATACAAAATCATGTGGGATAGCCCTGGTGCCTTCGACCCACAAGTACAGTGAGGAAAACTCACCTCACAGTCTAAACGAAAGTAGAAAAGAACACTGCGCAGATCACCACTCTAAATGCTTACTCTACCGGTCACCTATACAATAAAAGTGACCCAAGCTCAACCCACAACTCAAAATACCCCTAAGTCAATCCTGGTCAAACTTCTGGTCAAAGGGTCAAAGTCAACAAGTCAAGAAAAGTCAAGGAAGCCTCCTGACTGAGTATGCTCGGCATACTCAGTAACTACGCCCAATGTAGTTCGACATTGACCAAGTTACAAGGTGCTGACCGAGTACGCGCAGCGTACCATCTGGTACGCCCAACGTACTCCGCTGAACCACCAACTTTCTTTTAAGCTCTTAATTCATTAAGCCAACACGTCAAATGATCAAATCTAGTCCCAAAAGTCGCCCTAAGTCATAAAGTTTCCAACTTTATGACTTAACATGTCTAGAAGGTGTCCAACAACAAAAACCCTAACTTATTAACCCGTTAAGACATTCTAGCATGTGTATGGAAAGAAACTAAGATCCAAGATAACATTTTTATGGCTCTAAACACTCCAAAACATCTGAAAGGACAAGTCAAATGAATTAGAGTAACCCATACTCCAATACATTAAACTTATGGGACCAAAATGAACACAATCCATGGTTAATCAAGGTCAAAGCAAAACTTCATCAATATCAAAGCTTTTTACATCCAACTAGTGCCAAATGATGATGTGTTTTTGGATCCAAAGTGCTTCACTCTTCTAAGACGGTCTCTTCTTCCTTCTTGCTCCTTTAATATCACCAAAATACACACTCAAGGCTCAAAGATGCTCTAAAAATGGATTAGGGTTAGCTAGGGTCGAGTTGGAGGATGGATGCTGATGAATGAAATGGTTTTGAGGCTATAATGAGGTTTAAATATGGTGCAAACCCTAAATATTAGAGTTTTGGTCCATGCCACGTCCGCCCAGCGTACGCAAGCCACTCCCAAAAATTACAAAAATGCCATTAGGGACCAAAATACAAACAATTCTCATATCAATGGTCAAAATGTAAAATACATGGAATCGAGATGTTACATTATACCTTCAAAGAATTAGTTATTTTGGCTAATGAAATATAAAATATAGACTTTAAAAATCTTGATTTATACATATATTTTTTTTTGCTAAAAGATTAAAATAATTCACTAAAAATAAATAAGACGTGTCACAATTTTTATTTATATATACCTCTTATAATAAAATAAAAAAGAGGTAGGTCAAGTGACCTATTTTTGTAATATGTACAATTGCCCCTCTATATAACATAGAGAACAAGTTGAAACTTATAAGTAAAGAACAATATCGAAACTCACCAATAGTTTTGAAATAACCTTTATCAAAAAATAGTTTGATAAAAAGCATGTTCGAAACTCAAAAAATAAGTTAAAAATTAACAAATTTTCAAACACAATAGAGATTTTGCAAAATTTGAAAGAAAACAAAAAGATCACGCAGACAACTAACTATTTTTCAATGAGAAATTAAATATTCTCCTACTTTTCTTTCTACATATCCTCCTATCCATTTGAAATGATGACAAGTGTACTAAATTAATGATAATCTTATCCAAATATGACACATGTCACCATTTTACATGGGTAGGAACATAAATAGAAAGAAAATGTAGGAGGGTATTTAATTTCTCTTTTTCAATAGAAAAGAATAGAGAAACCAACCTAGTTGGTTGGTCAATATCAGAAAGAAGATAAGCCAAAATACCGGAGACATACAACTACGGTCTCGTCCTTACAAGCACCGGAGGTGTACTAATCAATGAACCTCAATAACCTACATTTTTTTTGAGATATTAAATATCCTCCTACTTTTTGTTCCTAAATATCATCCTACCCAATTAGATGGTAACATGTGTAACATTTAATGTTCATTTAAAGAAATTTAATGATATTTTAGGATACTAACATGACATATGTCATCATTTAAATGAGTAGGAGAATTGGTAGGAACAATAGATAGCAGGATATTTAATTTTTTTTTTATGTATCATATATGTGAACACACTGTCCTCTCCTAGCTGAGCAACCTGACATTTTCATTCAAATATAGGCGGGATGGCTTGGTTACTATTATAAAGCACAATTTTATTATATGTTTATAAAATAAATGTTATTTTCGTGATTATCTTATTTTAAAACTAAAAAATAGTTTAAGTAGGTTAAGTTAATTGTATTTAGCTAAATAAAATATTTCTCTCTCAAAATTCATGCATATTTAAATTTTAGTAAAACATACCCCTCAACTAACGCTTTTGATATACAAAACTTAATTTGAGGATTTAGGAGCATATTTATCATTTCGAACGTGGTTTTGTCTAGAATTGGAATCAAGAAAACCAATTACAAATCTTGACGACCTCATTTTTGCATTTTATTTTAGTTCAACATCCCACTTCAAATCTATTCTCGTAATTGAATGATCTCCCATGTATTTGTTCACCAAATGTCATAGGAAAAAATAATCGGTACATGATAATTTTTGGCGTACAACAATATCTATCACAATAGTTATTAATATACCGTTGTTTGTTTTCGGACTTTCTTCACCTTTCTTGTCACACCATCAACAAACATAAAACCGATGAAAACCAACCGAGATTTTTCTTTTGTTATTAGTTGTAGTTTTCAGAAAATTATCTAACGGTGTATGCGATATTGTTATAAATTTTGATATTTTGAATAAAAGCATTCATATAAATTCCACCTACTTTTTATCTAAGGTAGGTGAGCACCCATAAAAATATGTTGACAAACAACATAACCTCAAACCATGGCAAAATCCCAAGTGGTTGTAAGTAGTTACAATTAGCTTATCAACTTCATATCCTTTCAAGTTTCAACCCCTGAAAAGACCTCCCTTAATTAGTTTTACAAAGAATAATAAAATTTTCTATTTTAAGATGTATTATACCAATATAGTCCCTTTCTTTCAAAAACAATTATACTAAAATTACATATTTACCCATCGGATTCATTACAAAAGTATAACAATGTTGATTCTATGATATATCTTATCGACCTATGGATAATGCCTTTTATTCTTGTAAAAACTTGTAATATAAACCGTTGATAGTAATGACTTTTATCAATAACGAAAAAGGGTATTTTAATATTTTAACTTAAAAATAAAATAAAATATAACGTAGGGCAGGAGGTGGTACAACTTCCAGTGGCAATTACTTGCATGACTCACCTTTCTAAATCATTTTTCATGTTTAAATTCCAACTTCAAACCCATCATTTCTTCAACAAAACAAGCTCAACAAAATCTTCTCCAAGAAATTAAGATGAAGTTAACAGTGGCCATGACGGTGGTCTTGACGACGGTTCTTTCAGGTTTGATCCATGGGTACGACTGCAAGATTGTGCAATTCATCTTCGGGGATTCATTGTCCGATAACGGCAATAACAATCGGCTTACAAAGAGCTTCGCTCAGGCTGCACTTCCTTGGTATGGCATCGACTATGGTAGTGGAATGCCGAATGGCAGGTTCACCAATGGTCGCACCGTTTCTGACATTATCGGTAATATATTTTCCGGCAACATCGATCACATGGTATATCATACTATATATAAAACATCGTCGACTTTAATAGTTTTGGGTTGCAGGTGATAAGATTGGGCTTCCACGACCACCGGCGTTCTTGGATCCGTCGTTATCAGAAGATGTTATACTTGCTAACGGAGTGAACTTTGCTTCCGGAGGTGGCGGGATCTTGAACGAAACTGGTGGTTTGTTTGTAAGTTTGAATATTCCTCTACTTAAACCGGATTTATAGATTAAAAACAGATAACGAAATTGTTAATAAAAAATTACAGATTCAAAGATTCTCAATGTATAAGCAAATCGAGTTATTCCGAGGAGTTCAAACATTGATCCGAGGCTCAATCGGCGATAAAGAAGCAGACAAGTTTTTCCAGGAAGCAAAGTACGTAGTGGCATTGGGTAGCAATGATTTCATCAACAACTACTTGATGCCTGTTTATGCTGATTCTTGGACGTATAACGATGACACCTTCATCGGCTACCTAATGGAGACTCTTGGAGAACAACTCACAGTAAAAATTAAACAACCCTGATCCTTTAATTTATTGGGAACCAATCAAAAGTCGTTGAAAGAGTCATGCATGAGTTTTCTTGATTAATTTTATATGTAGGTATTGCATGGGATGGGAGTTCGAGAGTTGATGGTTTTCGGGTTAGGGCCAATGGGTTGTATTCCTCTTCAAAGGGTGTTGAGTACTTCTGGTGGGTGTCAAGAGAAAACAAACACACTTGCTCTTAGCTTCAACAAAGCTACAGCTAAACTCATGGACGATTTATCTGCAAAACTTCCAAATGCATCTTACAAATTTGGAGATGCTTATGATGTCGTTAATAATATCATCACCAATCCAAGTAAATATGGTACGCTTTTCTTGTCTAATTCAGTAAATTGATACTGTAAATTAATGTGCTTGATTAATTATGTTTTGATTTTTGAATTAAATGGGATGGTTGCTGCAGGATTTGACAATGCTGATTCGCCATGCTGTTCATTTGGAAGGATTAGGCCTGCTTTGACGTGTATTCCTGCATCGAGATTATGTAAAGACAGAAGCAAGTATTTGTTTTGGGATGAATACCATCCATCGGATCATGCTAATGAGATGATTGCTGATGAACTTATAAGAAAATTAGGGTTTAAGACTGTCAATCAAACAAATGGTGATTCTCCATCTCCGACTTCGGCTCCTGCTCCTAGTGACGATTGATCAAATAAGGCACGAAGATTTTATTTTTTGTTTGTAACGAATTGTTGTTTTTTTCTCTTTACTCTTGTACGTAGTCTGTAATTTGTTCATGTTTTGTGATCGTTTGAAGTTTTGAGAAATATACACATATACTTAATTGTTCGATACTCGATACTGATGTTATGCATTTGCTACGTCACATTCAAAGTGTCAAAAACTCAAAAAAGATTTCAGATTTTCATAAGGTGTGGTGGGCTGCTGGATAATTTAATGGGTTGGGCTGACTAGGCCCGCTAGAGTGAAAATTAACACATATTAATAGAACAAACATAAAGAGAAACTGGATTCGCGCGGATATTTGTAAAATAATTCAATTTTGATATTATTTTGTACTTACAAAAAAAAAATCTGGATTGCATAAATCCTATCAGACGAAGACGAGTACCTGGAAAGGCGAAAACCTAAGACTATTTTTTTCCGTCATTTTATCAGAATAAATAAAAAGCACTTTTTTCATTAAAAAAAATAAATAAACCCAGTTGTATAGCCGTTTGGACCCTAAAAATGACCATTTGTTCATCTATACTTGGTATAAACAAGTGTTGTTTCATTTAGTTTTAGCACTTTAAAAAACTCTCTTTTCAAAACGTTTCTAGCAATCTCATACTCTCGAATTATAATTCAGTTTCCAACTGAAAATGACATTCTCACAAGCTATTGGTTTGGCGTCCATCAGGAGCACTGGAGCAACCTAAAAAAAACCATGTGAAAGCCAATGTTGTCGAAATTTCTCCATATTCCTGAAACCAAGCAATTTAGTGCAATTTCGATTTGTGTCTTAGGTTAGGGGGAGTGGTCACCACAAATCCACTAGAAAAGTGTTGTGATCTCAGCGCTACATCTGCTCCACTACAAGCTCACTACAAAATTACTAGCCTTTGGAAATGGTTATCATTCCATATTATTTATTTATTTATTTATTTTGATATTAAATCAAATAAAAAATAATTTAAAACATTAAGCTAAGTCAATCACATGCGAAGAAACAGTCAAAAAAATGTTTAACCAATCACATGCGTCGTCTTCTTCCGTCTCCATGACTACTCCACAGACAAGCCACTGGACATCGGGCCAGTGTTCACGCGTAACTTGGCTGTCCACCACAAGCGTCTTTTTGGCACTCACTCTGTATATCCTTATAAACAACAAAGAGAAAAAAGAATCTATGCAAAAATGCGGTCAGTTTCATAACTCTATTAGAAACCTGACATCGAAAAATCATGCGGAGACGACTTGCAAAGTGATCAAGCAAGATTTTAAATTACAAAATAATGTTGTTTTCTATTTTATTTGATAATGCATCAAATAAGTCTAACACCATCAACGACTGAACCCTATTTTAAACGACATCATTAATATACTCATGCAATACAAACTAAAAAAATCGATCAATTAAGGATACACTTTAGATGTCTTTTTTACGACCAATGCAAGGCAAAAGAAGTATCATTTATGTTGTCACCAAGATGATGAAACAACATTTGGCAATTAAGGATACACTTTAAACGTCTTTTTTACGAGCAATGCAAGGCAAAAGAAGTATCATTTATGTTGTCACCAGGATGATGAAATGTAACATCCATAAAATTCGAGCCAATTTAAAACTTTTTAAAGCATTTAAAACCATTCAGTTATTACAATTTGTTTTCAAAATAGTTTAAACATCAGAGTTCCCAGAAATCATAATCATAAATCGAGGAAGTGTACGGTCACGCCTTCGCCTTCCCGCAGTCATCCGCTGTACCTGAAACAATAATCGATAAATGTAAGCTCGAAGGCTTAGTGAGTTACCCCCAAAATACTCATACACCCAACCATACACATATAATAACAAACAACATACTATGGGTCCAATCAACCATCGGGTTGGAATACCCCAGGCCCTCAACCATCGGGTTGGAATGCCAATATACTATGGGTCCAATCATCATCGGGATGGAATAACCTAGGCCCACAACCATCGGGTTGGAATGCCTACATACTACGAGTCCAATCATCCATCGGGATGGAATACTCTCAGCCCACAACCATCGGGTTGGAATGCCCACATACTACGAGTCCAATCATCCATCGGGATGGAATACTCTCGGCCACAACCATCGGGTTGGAATGCCAACAACCAATCAAACATGTGCACCTATATCAGATACTCATATAACGGTCTATAAAGACAACATACCAGGGTCCACTCATCCTCGGGATGGGATACCCTCAACTACCATAACAAACATGTGCACATATAACAGGTAATCACCTAAAAGTATACAGACAGTCAGACTAACTATAGGTCTCTAAGCATAACTGCATCCTATTTACCAGGATACCGATCTAACAGATCATACTAGCATATAACCATCCTATCTACCAGGATGTCGAGCTAACATATCACAATAGTAACAATTCCAAAAAACAAATCAAAGGGCTGACCTTGGTGCCTTAGACCCTTGAGTAAAGTGAGGATAACTCACCTCGCAATGTCAATCTGAACTGAAGAATCAAATTCCCGAATCGTTGTCTCACCAAAAATCCCGAACTATTCAAATAATAAACACTATTTCATTACATGGAATATCAATCTTGACTAAGGGTCCACATAATCCATTTTGTCCTTTCACTTTATTGGGCCAAGGCCCAATTGCCAAATCCATGATCTTAAAAGCCCATATATCCAAAGCCCATTAATGGCCCAAATTTCCCAATTTGGGCCTAACTTCCTAATTTGGCCTTATTATAGGATTCCTTATCAAAACTGGCCCAACCTCAATTATCCAGAAGGCCCAACAAGGCCCAAGTCCAATTAGTCCAAAAGCAGCCCAATCCTGAAACCCATTTTGTTAAAGGCCCAACAGAGGACGTACGCGGGGCATACTCCTCTGGTACGCTGGGCGTACTCTGCCTGACGTTGACCACCATCGGGGTGGTTGACCTAGTACGCTGGGCGTACAGAATTTACGCGATGTGTATGCAGGGTTTTGCCAAAACCCTAATAAGTGCTTAATGGCTTAAGCACTTAAGCCCATATTTCAGATCCATCGACCAAAAGTGCCTTAGACTCATAAAGTCTTGAAGTTTATCACTTTGGACGTCCAGAAAGCTCTTAATCCATTAAGACCTTTCTACTACATGCATGGGACATCTTAAGCCATTGGGACCTCATTTTTATCACTTAGGACCTCTTCAAGGGTCTGAAAGGACAACTTATCTTGTCAAAATCACATCATGCACCAACTTGGGACTTTTGGGACAAGAAATGGTTCCATAAAGCTAGAATGGCTAGATCTATGTCGTAAAAGCATAAAGTTTGAAGCTTTTTACCTTTTGGAGCTTCTAGGGCACAACACAACTTCAGATCTACAAGCTTGCCTTCCTTCTCCAACTATTTGATGCAATGTCTTCACCTTCAAGAGCTCAAAATACACACCAACTCACACTCACACACAAAACTAGGGTTTGGGACGTTTCTAGGGTATGGAGGCTGAAAGTGGTAGGAGAAATGAGCCATAAGGATGTTTATATAGCACCTAAACCCTAAATATTAGGGTTTCCTTCTGTCATGAGTACGCCCAGCGTACTAGGGCGCGCCTAGTACGCTCAGCGTACCCTTATGTATGCGCAGCGTACTCCTCTTGATCCTAAAATAGCAATTTAACCCTTATGCTTCTCATGGCTTCGCCCATCTATCGCCAGGGACTATAAATGACAAATCTTAGGATGTTACAATTCTCCCCACTTAAACTAGGCTTCGTCCTCGAAGCCTGCTGCGGCGAACAATTCAGGATAATGCTTCAGCATCTTGGACTGCGGTTCCTAAGTTTACTCGGATCCTTTCTGATGTTGCCACTGGTCTCCCTTCATAATTCAAGTGCTCTCCGACCTGAACATCACCTAGCGATACAACCGCCTACTCATCCAATATGCGCCTTTGCAGCTGCCAGACGTGATAAGCGATGTGAATCTAACCGAACCTCTTCAGAAGGTCTAACCTATATGTTACCTTGCCAACCCTGGCAAAATCCTGATGATCCAAAATATTGGGGACCCATCATCCCCCCTTTTCCTGAAGCGAATCCTCTTATGCTGACAGGATAATGAATCCTTCAGCTCCCGAAACAACTCACGTGAACAACCAGCTAACAAGTACGAACACTCATACCTGGCCCAATCAGCCACGGGCTGGAATACCAGGCATGCCTACGACGGGTCTAGTCATCCCTAAGATGGAATACCCTCGTATCACACACATGTTTGGCCCAATTAACCCTCGGGTTGGAATACCAAACATATCAGGTCCAATCAATCATAGGGTCCGATCATCCTCGGGATGGAATACCCTAGATTGGAATACCCTAGATTGGAATACCTCTATGAACATAACTCAAGTCTACTCATAACTTGAGATCCAAGGATCTATCCTTGCGTCTCATCCACAATCCTCTGATTTGTCATAACCGAGTACAACTCCCCCGAATCTCAACAATACATCCATTCCGAACGCGCTCCTACAAGATACATAACCATCACAATCTCTATGCCCACAACCTATGACTGGAATACCCTTACATGGTCCTCAGCATAGGTTTGGATTGCTTCTGAGCCCACAGCATGAGTCTGGTATGCCCTCTCCGGCCCTCAGCTCATGACTGGAATGCTCCCGATAACCTATCGACACTGCTTTCGTCACTTTAATTGCCCAACACTCCATCCTGGAGATACTCACCTCCTCCATTGCCCAAGACGGCCAAATCAATTTCCTTCACAACATCAACAAGTGCCACAATACTGAAGCCTTACCATACACTATCCACTTATATAACAAGTTGCTACCCCAAAAGTTTTCAGACTCTCCTACATAACCACCAATAATCCCTAAGGGCATTCTATAGGTGCTAACCAGTAACCACAAATAACATCCGGTTCCATAGGTTATTATCAAAAAGCAGCGTGCTCAATACCAAAACATAGATCTA